CAACATCTTTGTTGGTATGTGGTGCTGAGGATCGAACCCGGGCCGCACGCATGCCAGGCGAGCGCGCTACCACTTGAGCCACATCCCCAGCCCCGTATAATAAATATTTCAAGAATTATTTTACAGCACAGACCTATATTAGTTTTTTAGAAGCCAGCACTTAGTTTCATTAACAATGCTTCTCAAGCTGCCTATTGGGAAAGACCAGTTTTGTTTTGTTTTTTCCAAGAAGTCATTGACCAGTGTTTTTGAAAAATAAAATAACTAGTAATTAGAAAAAATGAAATAAAAAAACGTGAAATACAACCCAGATTTTTTTATTACTCATTTCAATAGACATGAAATTACTATCAATTTTTATACTTTAGCAATATAGTAATACTTCACATCCTTGCACAATTCCCTAGACAATGCTCTGCCCTTCTGTGAAATAATTTAATTGGAATTCTGTTTTGAATGGTTAAAAACAAGAATTTCCCACCATTTCTAAACACAATGAAAATATGAATAGTAGAGTATACAATTGACTAATGCTTACTGAAAGTGAATTGTTCCCTATTTGGTTTACTTTTTGTTTGATTTGGTTTGGTTGGTTGGTGGGTTTAAATTTTTTATTTTGTTCATTTGCTTTTTATTTTTCAGTACTGGGGATTGAATCTAGGCCTTGTGCATGCTAGGCAAGCACATTGCCTCTGAGCTACATCCCCACCCTACCTCTCCCTATTTGGAATATTTTTTATGCTATTATTAAATGAGATCTTTATCTGATTAGTTGTACAGTTGAAGTACAGAGTAATATGCCTCTCAACAGTGTCACCTATAAAGCATTCCAGAGACCCAAGATATGCAACAATTGGTGTGACTTTGTGTACATACTTGTATTTAAGATACTCTCTTGTGTCCTCTTCCAAATTTGCTTGATTTTTATTGGGGAAAATGTTGAAGTATAAGTTGAAAGTGACGTTTGGATCAGAGGCTCTAATCAGCAGATAAGAAATATTACCCCCTAAAGTAAAAATAAAAGGGAAAGGGAAAGGAGGAAGCAATAAGAAATATGAAAGTATTAAATAAATTGTAATAAAAACAAGTCAAGGGGCTAGGGATGTGGCTCAAGTGGTAGCATGCTCGCCTGGCATGCGTGCGACCCGGGTTCAATCCTCAGCACCACATACAAAGATGTTGTGTCCACCAAAAACTAAAAATAAATATTAAAAAATTCTCTCTCTCTCTCTCTCTCTCTCTCTCTCTCTCTCTCTCAAAAAAAAAAAAGAAAAGAAAAAAGTCGACCTGTGTGTGCAAATGATGCCAAAAGAGAAGAAAAAAATGTTTTATGGACTGACCTAAGAACCATTATAAAAAGACTAGTCCATTTATCACTATGCATTAATTTTACTTCATTAATTTTAATTTTCAAAGACTTGAGAAGATGCTTAAGAAAACACCCAGAAATTTATTTATTTATTTATTTATTTATTTATTTGGTACTGAGGATTGAACCCAGGGGTGTTCAACCATTGATTCAATCCCCAGCCCTTTTTTATATTTTAGTTAGAGACAGGGTCTTGCTGAGTTGCCAAGTGCCTCACTAAGTTGCTGAGGCTGGCTTTGAACTCAAAGTCCTCCTGTCTCAGCCTCCAGCTACAGGCATGCACCACATACCCATTCCAGATTTTTATTACTAATTCTGCTTTGTAAATTTAATTTGGCCTGTGAAGAAAATTCATGAACATTCTTAATTAAAATCAATAAAGTTTGATATATTTTTATATATATCCATGTATGTATGTGTGTGTTTATTTAGCATGTTGTTTTGCATTGCTGTTTTTATGTTGTTGTAATGCTTTTTAGCAGATCATTGCCTTTCTTCAGCATTGAGTATTGAACTCAGGGATTTGCTCATTACTAAGCAAGTGCTGTACCACTGATCTATACTCCCAGCTGAATGTAGAATTGTTTCTAAAGAATAATCATTAACAAAGTAAGAAATATCTTAAGCAATTTTGCTATAATTCTGTTACCCCCCAAAAAAGTTTTCTTAACCATTCCTGTGGGAAAACTAGAGTAACTGGTAAAATAAACTAGGGAACTAGAAAGGCAAGTGGCTAGAGCTGGTTTGATAATTATATGGTAATTAGTACTGTTTCATAAGTAAAATAAGTTGAAAACCAAAAATAGTCAGGCACTGCAACAGGAAGGGCAGGATGTCAGCTTTTGAGAAGGAAAAATAATATATAAACGCTAAATATAAAACACTAAAATATAAAAAAGGGCTGGAGATTGGCTTGGTTATCTCCTGGTAACCTAGTTGTCTAACATCAAGGCTGTTAAACTAAGTTGAGATGTCATCTTGTAATAATAATATCTTTTATATATATGATTTTCTACCAATATCAAAAAAATTTGCTTATTATTATTTCCAATTGCTACTCTAACAAATACCACACTCTTAGAGGCTTAAAACGACATAAATTTATACTGATGTAGTCCGAGAGGTCAGAAATCTAGAATGGGTCCTCAGGGCTACATTCCTTCTGGAGGCTCTAAGGAAAACTATCTGCTTCCTTTTCCAGCTTCCATGGAGTAGTTCTTAGTTCTTAGTTCCACATGCTTAGCTATTTACTTTCCAGCTTCCTTGGCTTAGTTCTCTGTTCCTCAGTCTTCAAAGCAGTCAACTTTGGACCTTTTAATGCTTCCAAGTCTCTTGTTCTTTCCTTCTGCCTCCCTCTTCCTCTTCTAAGGACCTTTGTGACTGTACTGGGCCCATTTGAGTAATCTAGAATAATCTCCCCCTTTCAAGGTTGTCTGATTAACAGCCTGAATTGCATCTGCCCCACCCCATACCTCTTCCCCCCCCCTTTACCATGTTTCCTAACATATTCATAGTTCCTAGGGGTTGGAACATGGATATTTTGGAAAAATAAGGCATCATTCTGCCTACCCCCATAATATCCCACTCATCCTTGCTGTAGCCCTATTAAGTAGGCAAGAAAGATATTTCTGAATAATGAATGAAGGGGTAAATAAATAAGAAAAGGAAAAAAGTTGACTTTAAATGTATATCAAATATTAAATGATGTTTATAAGAGCATTCACATTTCTTAAGTGGATTGATCTACCTTCTCAGCTTTGATTCTTCTGGGT